TCCCACTTGGGCCATTAATTGTTGATGTGCCTTAGCTTCTGCCTCTGTAAAAGTTACCCCATGACAACATGGGAGTAGGCGTGTGATGTCCCCATACTTTTCTCCTACCTCTTACTTTTTATAGTCTAACTAGCCGACTCTCATATAGTCTAACTAGCTGACTCTCATATAGTCTCACTAGCTAACTCTTGTGAGAAATCAATGACAATAGTTACCAAATACTGTTCATATCCCAAGGGAGTATAATAGACCTTCTCAAACTGCCCCAGATGGGGCACCGCTTTTTGTTTTTTAACCTCTTCTTCTATTCTCTTTGCCCTTCCTTTCTGTTTAATATACTATAGTCTGGTTTTGCTCACCACCTTCTATAGATTTCCTAAATGACCCAACCTAATAATTGTTCTTACTTCAAAGAAGCAGAAACCCCAAAAACAAAAACAAGGATCATTAGGACATAATATCTATTTAAAAAAATAAAAAGGAAGAGAAAGGAAAAGGCAGCTTTCTGCCCAGCCCCATATTTGCCCACTGGAAAGTTCTTGCTTATGCATTATCTTGTTCAATCCTCAGAGTTCAACAGCCAGATCAGCTGTGGCAGCTAGCGACTGATCGGATGATGGATAGAAGATACTAAAATTCTTATTGGCGGGGCCCAGAGGAATAGGAAAGGATCTAAAACACAGCAAGAGAGGCCCTCTGGCTTGGGATCCCCAAACATTATTATGTGCACAGTAAATGGGGCAAGAGGCAGAAGACATTCCCTCCTGAGAGCTTCATTTGTGAATTCATAGCTTCAATGGGACTGACATGGAGAGAAAAGACAGTCCATCATCTAGAGTTTTCTAAAAAGACTGAAGAGAAGAAGGGAGAAATTGTAAAATAATCACATTTTTACCAATGTTGTGGGACCCTGACCAGAAAATGGTAGGCATGGCAGAAATTTAATCACTAAAAAGGAAGAAGAACGGGCCATCTACAATAATTCACCAGACTGTACTTTAAGAAGTTTTCTGGGGGCACCTGGGTGGCTCAGTCAGTTAAGTGTCTGCCTTCGGCTCAGGTCATAACCCCAGAGTCCTGGGATCGAGCCCTGTGTTGGGCTCCCTGCTCAGCGGGGAGTCTGCTTCTCACTCTCCCTCTGCCCAACCCCCACCCGTGCTCTCTCTCTCTCAAATAAATAAATAAAACTTTTTTTAAAAAAAAGTTTTCTGAAGTCAAGAGTGGCGTCTGTGGCCAAATGCCTACTGTTTATCACATTTCCCGAGTGGAAATAATAAACAGGTTGGGGGAGTTAAAGCTACCATTCCCTAGACAGCAAGACAGCTTTTGCCTTCTCTTTTTTCTCCCTTCTTTTATGCAGAGGAAAAGTTTACATAAAGCTGGACCACAGAGATGGCCTTTTCTAAGACTGGATTATCAAAACTCAATAGGAAGTAAAAATTAATGCAAATGAATGGCTCCTTGCATCGTGAGTTTTCATTTTTGCTCAATTGCCTCCTCATGGGAGAATGCATGCGTGAGGAAAAATGACATGGCAGCGAAACGCTGTCAGGTGTGCAACACAGAGTGTGCCCAAATAAGTAGTATACCAACTATTCTGATTCTTCATTCACACAAGCCATGTACACGGAAGTCCTTACAGGAACATTTGCCGCCGGTATTGCAGAGTTGTGGAGCTCCTTGACACCGCCTAAGCGAGGTATTCATTTTTTTTTAAGATCTTTTATTTATTTATTTTACAGAGAGAGAAAGAAAGAGTGTGTGTGTGTGTGTGTGTGTTGTGTGCGGGAACGCAGCGGGGAGGGGCAGAGGGAGAGGGAGAGAGAGAATTCCAAACGGATTCCCCGCTGAGCATGGAGCCCAACGTGGGGCTTGATCCCAGGACCTTGAGATCATGACCTGAAACCAAGAGTCAGCTGCTCAACTGACTGAGCCACTCAGGAGCCCCCTAAGCCAGGTATTCTTAAAAAAGAAGAAGTCTTCAAGCAAATAACAGTGCAGTTAGGTATCAAAGTCCTGGTTCCAATTTTCTCTAGACCATCTGAACGTTGCTGTTGTCTTTAACACTATTTGGAAGTTTGGAGGAATCACTAAAATACAGGATTGGTCAAAGCATAATATAACCAAGACCTGAGTTATGGCATTCCAGAGACCGTTATGATAGTGGCTTCAAGACTTTAAAAAAGAAAAGAGAGAGAGAAAGCAAGCTGACAGAGAAAGCTGAAGTCATTACAATAGCTTTGCCTGTCTTTTCCCCAACCACTCCATCCTCCTCTCCTAGATTAAGTCATCACAAAAACAATTTAGCAGCTCCTTCTCTTCTTGATTTTTATCTCAGAATAAATTACAGTTCTGACCTCTCTTTTCATGTGGCCCTATAACCGAACTTTTATTCTCTGAAGCAAAAGACAAACAGCACTGATAAACTTTGAGCCAGACATAACCAGCAGCACACCTGACATACCGTTTCCTGTGGTGGATCAGTGATGTCAGCGGACACAGATGATACTCCAGATTCAGATCAGAACAGGAGCCTTTTTCAGGAGAGAGCTGCCGGCATGGCTTGCCCCAGTTTGCTGTGGGCACTCGTGGTCTCCACCTATCTCGGTAAGGAAGGCACACCTTTTTGCTTTTACTATTATCCAACAGGACTGGGAATTAGGGATAAAGATTAGGAAAACAAGCATCTTACCTCCTCGTTGGTTCTGGCTACTGGGGGCAAAGAAGCTGATGGATATTGCCTGAAGTTTGGTCAAGAAAAGGAAAGGTGGTTGGAGGATGGGATCAGCTTGTGAGTCGGCCTGCCTTATCTGCCTGGTGTGAGATACCCTCTCCGCTTTCCCACAGGATCCAGCACAGCCCAGACGGTCACTCAGACTCAACCAGATACGCGTGTGCGGGAGACAGAGACTGTGACCCTGCACTGCACGTATGACACCAGCGACAGTGATTATTATTTGTTCTGGTACAAACAGCCTCCCAGCGGGGAGATGATTCTCATTATTCGCCAAGAAGCTTATAAGCAAGAGAATGCAACAAAGGATCGCTTCTCTGTGAACTTCCAGAAACCAAAAAAATCCTTCAGTCTCAGGATCTCAGACTCCCGGCTGGAGGATGCTGCGATGTATTTCTGTGCTCTCATTGAAGGCACAGTGACATGAGCAGCAGGAAGAGGTTTACAGAAACCTCAGACCTCAGTGTAGGTGTGGAGGGGTGGGGGGGCAGGTGAAGGCGGAGTGGGTGGGATGCCAGGAACATAGAGAAGAAATCATTGACTTCTCTGGAGAAAAAAATACTATTCTATAGGACTGAAGGAAACACATAAAGTAGTTCTCAAAATAGTAATGGAAATAATGAATGTGCACAATGTGTTACGGGTTCATAGAGTACCTTCACATGCATTTGCTTCATTTAACCCTGATGGCTCCTTGTGTCATACAGCATTGGTCAGACATTCTATCCAGTGACTCTCGTAGCTAGAACCACAGCTACGTTCTAGAATTTTGCCTTAATCTTTTCACAGTGTATGTTACTCGTTTTGCTATCCTAATTTCTCCACCCTCCACCTCCCAGCCTAGGCTACCTGATTTTTTTGCATGTGTAACAAGTTATTTCTTTCTAATTACAAAACTGCGAAAAACTACATCATGTCTATCTCGTTGTTTCCCAACTGCTCTATCAGCCATTCTCCCTGACTTGAGACTAATTTCACCCTGTATTTCTTAAATGTCTTTAATGCACCACTGGTCCTACCTAAGAAAATGAGGAAAGAGAACAAACAGCTGTCAAAAGAATTTCGCATGCTGCTAACACTCATCAGCAAATGCTTAAAAAAAGAAAAAGAAAAGGTTAACTTCTGGTAATGGTATCACTGCTTCTGATGAGGCAACATGGGAGGAAATGGACCATTTAGAAGAACCAAATCCAAAATCACCAGAGTCACCACCCCACGTGCCCTGAGACTGGCGGATATCTGGACCTGAAGAGGAGTCCATCTTCCTTATGCTAAAGAAAAACATAAAAACAGTAGGATGGAAAAAGTAATACCAGCATTTCTTTTTACATCCATAATTCCCTCAATACATAGCATTTGCTGTTGAGACCACTTGCAGAGTATTTAATTCCATCTGCCCACCTTGAGTGAATGGGAGAGAGCTGGATAAGATACTCCATGGCTGAAATATTCAGTCTGCTGAGTGGGTTCTGGAGCTGAGGATGGAGGTGTATTTAGAAGGAGCAGTGGAAGTTACTAGAGTTGGGAGAGCAAGGAGAGGCAAAGCCAGATTGCTAAATAACAACTAGCACCAAGCATTCACAGGAACACCTTGTCACCTCTTGGTTATCAGTACTAGCAGGAGGGACTCAGTACCTAGACTGAAACCGAAGTCAGAGCTGGTGACATGCAGAGGACCTTTGGGATTTCTTGTGCCTTCTCCACAGTCTTCAAGAGCTTCTCTACTGGCTGCCTTAGGCCAGAACCCCATAGCTCAGGGCCCCACTCATAGTCCCGTTGGACATCTTGAAGTTGTCTGGAACACCCCCCTTTAGTTCCACATGCTGGAGCACGAGGGCAAGTCACACCTCCTATGTTCCCCAACTTCCATCCACTCTGACCACTCATTCTGATCACACTCCTTTCGGCCTCAACTCCCAGAACACCACAACGCAGCCCCGGCTCACATGCCAGGCTCTCACCTGTCTGAAACTCAGTGAGAGTATCATGTCTTACACAAGTCAGATAACTCTGGGCCATTCAAGCTTTACCCTCTTCTATATCCCTCAGGTCCAAGTAGTCACCAAAACTTACAGATTCAGGCTAGTTGTCAAGTTTCACATCGAAGTTCTTCTTTTTTTTTTTTAAGATTTTATTTATTTATTTGAGAGATAGTGACAGAGATAGTGAGAGAGAGCACAAACAGGGTGTGGGGCAAAGGGGATGTGGGGCTTGATCCCAGGACCCCAGGATCATGACCTGAGCCGAAGGCAGACACTTAACCGACTGAGCCACCCAGGCATCCGAAAGTTTGTTTCTTCTTTCCATCCTTGCTGCTAGTGCCTTCACAGAGCTCCTCTCGGTTGAATTAACTAATAGTCATCCAGCTAGTCTCTCTGTCTTCAGGTGTGGTCCCCTTCACACACTGCTTCACACAGCCACCAAGGTGACCTTCCTGCAATAGGAATCACATCATGTCCATTCCCCGTTCAATGAAAGCCCCATTTCCCACAGAAGGAGCCTGTGATCAGTCAGCATGTAAGTGCCATCAAAGCAGAGACCACCAATATATCCCCAGCACCTACCATGCCTGACAAGGTACATGGTCCAAGAACTATTGGGGCGCCTGGCTGGCTCAGTTGGTAGAGCATGCAACCCTTGATCTTGGGGTAAGTTCAAGCCCCAAGTTGGGTGTAGAAGTTACTTAAAAATAAAATCTTAAAAAAAAAAAAAAAACTATCCACTGAAGGGATAGACTTACAGGATCCTGGGGGGTTGAAATAATGTTAAGCTAAGACTGCCTTTTGCCCTTAGCAAAGTATTAACATTGAGGCAGCTGAGTTCCTAGAGGAATGTCACTCTGCCTGTTTCAAGGACGTGTCAATGGGCTGTAAGTAGTAAGGAAATTTAATAATTTTTCTTTTGCCTTCATTTCCCACATCAGTGTTTCCTTCCAGGCAGGGATGATATTAAAAACTTTTAGCCTAATATCTAGTAACCTGTTTGGATTTGGTATGAATATCGGAAAGGACACAGGTTGGGAAGAGACGGTCATAGTGTTAGAACAGAGTCCTGATGGGGACCCCTTACTCTGCCAGGCATTTACTTTTTGAATTGAAAGGTCCTTCCTGTTGTTGACTCCTCAGCCACCAGCCCCCATCCTTAGGTGCTTCCCCAAAGTCGCCTCATTAATGTAAACAAAGACACCTCTATCTCTTCCACCAAATGAAATTCCAAGAGTTTTAGGTGCTCTGTGCCAAAAAATGGGGACAAAGACCAAATACGTATTTCTTATTATAAATCACAACTATAACATGTGCCTATATTAATCTTAGTCTTTGCTTAAGAACTTGGCCAGAGTAGAACCTTTAGGTATGGAGACTGCATTAGTTAATCCCAGTGGATATTTTGCTTCTTACTAATGTGCTTTGCTACCACTTGTAGCTGGCATTGGTGGTAAATGAAAACCGGCAGTGTGGAGCTTTAATGCACTCTCCTCTAAACTTGGGCTCTTGTTCTTAGGCCTACACCTCTCTTTGGCCACTTTATTCTCTGCAACACCAGGAATCAGTCAATTTAAACAGAAGTTTCAATCTCTTGGCTGGAGGAAACACTTTCTGCTTCATGGGGAGGCTAAGGCAGATAACCTCAGATACTGTAGAGACAGTATCTCAGAATGACAGCTTGATCATCTCTTGCACAGAACATCTGCAAATTGAGAAGGATGAGTGTTGTCAGATCTAAAAGTCCCCTGTTCTGCCTTATTTTGTTCAGATTCACATTTAAGGAGAAACATGCAAGAAGTTGCCTGAATTTCCGTGGTATTTTCCACCAGTCTGTAGAAGATACAAATTTAAGGAACAGCTAATGGGTTACATATACATATCTGATGTGAGAAACAAAGGCAGAAGAGAAATTATTAAATTTCCTTACTACCTACAGCCCTCTGACAAGTCCTTGAAACAGGCAGAGTGACATTCCTCTAGGGACTCAACTGCCTCAATGTTAATACTTTGTTAAGGGCAAATGACTATCCTAGCCCAACCCCTCCCCACCCCAGGAGCCTGTAAGTCTACTTTAACATATAAAAATTCTTTTAGAAATTTCCTTTATCTCTAAACCCTCCAAGATACATGTTGGCAATCATCCCCCAAGCATATGGCCCACCGATATACCTCTGAAGGGTCTCATGACTAAGGTTTTATTAGATGGTAATAAATGACCTTTTCCTAACAATAGCTGGTCCCCTCAAGGTCCTGGAAACCTTGCTTCCAAAATTCCTTAGAGACTTACCCTATCCCTAACCCCCTCCCAACTTGAAAGTATATAATGGGGCACTCCTCATGACCATGGTGCAGCTCTTTCTGCCCACAGGTCCTGTCCCCATGCTTTAATAAAATCATCATTTTGCACCAAAGACCTCTCAAGAAATCTATCTTGGCCATCGGCTTCGAACCCTAACATTTTTCCTATATCAGTATGCAGTGATAGTAATTTTGCATGCCATCAAAGCTTGTTCTTGTTTGTAGGCCAACCTGCACATTAGATTAATGGCAGTCAAACTTTGGGAAACTATGCGACCACACATTTTTAAGATAACTTCTAAAATATTTTAGCACTACTTTAAATGTTTAAGTAGCCATGGAAGTTATAAATTTCCCTCTATTATAAATATTGACATTTTCAAATAAAATTATATAATAGCTTTTAAATACATGTGATGAAATCTTAATACTGAAGTGATTTGCTACCCATAAACATCCAATTAAAATTTATGAACAAACTCTTCATTAACGATTGAAGATTTTATATTGCTCCTTTCTTTCCTAAAATCATATTTCCATTCAACTTCTGCAGATTGAGTACAACATATTTTTCATTAAAAGTCTTTTATTGACTCAAAATTTCTGCAACAAAAACATGTATGAGATTGAAATTTTTTTTTAATTTAATGTTCTAGGCATAGACGGTAGCATTAGACCATAATGCTCTAATTGCTCTTTTTTTTTTCTGGGTTGAATTGTAAATATAATGATTAATAATGCACATTTGATGAAAACTACTTAAATATACTACAATTTTAAAAAGATTTTGAACATAAAAGACAAAAACTTCTTTGGAAATGCATTTCTTAATAATCGCTTCTCGGCCTTTTGGCTAAGATCAAGTGTGGAAATGCATTTCTTAATAAAATGACAGGGATCTAGAATTATTTGATTGAAGGAGGTTTCCCCTACATACACAAAAAGAAGTACTCCTTTCCTTAATGCCCCCGAGCTTCTCAAACTGCAGAACAACGTTGCAAAGAAAGAGTCCTTCTTGTGTAAAGTTGGAGAAGCACCATTGTGAAATAAAAGCCACAGTCAAGTTCTCAGGCAGATCGTTTTTAGGAAAGCATACATAGAGAAGTTGAGGGTCTAGAAGTTGATTCCCTTAAGATACATCTCTGTTCCTTAGTTTGAAGATCACTGCATGAGACTGCTCTCAATATCACTGACTCATTCTCGGTAAGCCTTCGTTTAGTAATGAGGTTTGAGGAAAATCCACAGGAAATTTGAAGGAAAGAGTCTTAAGGTTCAATAAACCTGATAAATATCCTAAAATATGTTTGACATTTCTGGATTGGAAGAATAGATACTGATGAGTCGGAAAACAATGGGGACTGAGCTCTTGCATGACGCAGATCATTCTGTACACTGACACTGTTTGATATGATTTCAAATCCACTTATTCATTACTTAAATGAAGTGGTTTTACTCTACTAGTTTATGACAAACTCATAATCTCAGGGTCCTGGGATCCAGCTCCACACTGCGCTCCCTGCTCAGTGGGGAGTCTGCTTCTCCCTCTCCCTCTGCCTGCTCATGCCCTCTCTCTCTCTAATAAATAATAAATAGAATCTTTAAAAACATATATATAATTACCAAGAGTTTGTGAGGAGTCTCTAAGAGTGTTCAGTCTGGGCAAGAGGACTCTGCTGTTCTAAAGAGGTCTCTGAAAATCCTGGGGCAATTAGCTTCTGCCAAGGTAAAGACTCATTTACCAGCAGTGGGGAAAGCCATACAGTGGCCCCAGGAAGAATATCTTGTCCTTCAACACCAACTCCATCATTCCCTAGCAACATGCTCTAGCAACAGGGAACTTTTACTTTGGGGCTTGCAGCTGGACATCGGCTTTTGGCTGGCTATACCGTGACTCCCAAGTACCAACTCCTATAAAGGTACTCTTAACTAAATAAGGACTTTATTCCTTTCATCTCCCCTTGCCTGGAACAATAGTGTGATTAATCAATCATTGGTTTGGAGTACATTATTTATTGACTTCTTAAGAAATATTTTCCTGCACGCTATTGGCTTGTGAAATTCCCACAGCAGACCTGTACTACATACATTGTTGGCAAAGGCAAATCAGTCTCTGAGCCTAATTTGCCTCCTCAAAACAAAACACACATGTATCTTTACCTTGGGAAAAGCAGTGCTAATTGCCATGGTCATTGATTAATAACATTGTGAAAGAAGAAGTTGTCCCCTCTTGGGTGGGAAAAGTGATAATTGCTAGATCTCTTTTTCTCTATCATGAAAGAGCATTTTCCAGCAAGAACTTACCTGACACTCTGGGGGAATGGAACTTTGTTGTCACAGCGTATTTACCTAGCAATCCATAACTGAAAAAGGCTCATATGGTTTATACTCCTGTGTATTGGAGGTTAACCCCCAGAAATAGAAGAGGTGTTATGAGTTCATAGCCTGGAAGAAAAATTAAATTGATAATTGATAATTGAAATTATCCATTTCATCAAGATCTATTTACACAAAATACTGACAATTTTAAAAATTCCTTCCTGAGATAGTGTTCTATCACCTTTCTCAAATTGTTGTATCAACTCTACCAATACTTTATTTTGCTGTCTGTACATTTATATCTTTCTTCTTGTAAGCACACATGGAATCAGCTATTTTTATTATTAATGTGTATATATACATATGGCTAGGCAACATTTACCAAAACATGAGCATGTATTATGACTCAAAGAAGCAATAGGAAAGATTCATAAAAGCTACATCCTCTGAACACAGTGCAATAAAGCTAGAAATTAATAATTAAAAGATAGTCAATAAATGACTGGGAAGGGAATTAACCACTTATGGTATTACAAATAATTTCCAGTTCAAAGAACTAGAAGTTAAAGCTGTAGGTCATTAAAAATTAACACTAATGATAACACTACATATAAAAATCTGTGGATTTGTTCAAAGCAAAACCCATAAGAAAATGTGCAACCTTGAATACATTTATTAATAAACAGTCAAAGAATGGAACCAAATCTTCAATTCAAGAAATTAGAAAAAGATAATAAGCAAAATAAGCCAAAATGAAGAAGGGAAAAGTCTAATAATAAAAGTAGGAATTAATTGAAAAGTAAAACAAAAATTAGAATTTATTAAGCCAAGAGTTCTAGAAAATTTGTTAAGAAAAAGAGAGAATGGGGCGCCTGGGTGGCTCAGTTGGTTAAGCGACTGCCTTCGGCTCAGGTCATGATCCTGGAGTCCCGGGATCGAGTCCCGCATCGGGCTCCCTGCTCGGCGGGGAGTCTGCTTCTCCCTCTCCCACTCCCC